ATAGGACTTCTCTACTGGGACTTGGAGATAAGCAGTGTGTTGATCCAAGATACTGATTGTTTAAATGCGTTGAGAAATTTAACCACAAGATGGAAACTGCTGGACTAGTGAAGTGCTGCATTTTATGTACCACAATGGGTGGAAATCTGTGGCAGCAAAAACCCAAAAACATTTGTTTTACATGAAACTACAAGCTCAGTTTTGAAACACAGTGTGACCTGGATGGTAGTTTATAAAAGCTCACTGCAGAGTTCAGGGCTGAGTCCTGAGGGGAAAAAAAGGCTGTTACACTTATGTCTCGTAATCAATTTGGTGCTCACATCAACTGTGTAAGATCTGAAGGAGTCAGGATATGAAATACAGCATACCTGAAATGAATGATCTCATGGAAGAAATGAAGATTAAGGGCCAGCTTGCATTGGCTGTTAGAGTGAGTACAAGCTTCCAAAGTACAGTGTGTGAGAGGAATTTGAGAATCATGGATCTTTCTGGGACCGAGGAGAGCAATATAGGTGTAGAAATCAGTATAGGCTCTTGTCTGGTTTACTGGAAGAGGAACTTGTTTTCTTCACTTCCCCATTTGAATTTTTACTCTCTTTCCATGTAAGCGGAAATAGATCAAAAAAGGCCCTGTACCCTCTATTCCCAGTGTGTACATCCATACACAGGCACACACAGAGTCACCCCCAACCACAATTGTTATATCAAGCATGACTTCAAAATGTTTCCTGGGACATCCATGGTTTTAATAATCTGTTTAGAAGAATGTAAGTCTTGTTTGTGCTTGGCAACATCATCTTTGCAGTAAGGCAAGAGACCTTGGGGATCTGATTTTTGGGAAGAGAGCAAGTGCCAAAACCTGGCACAAGCAGCAAGCATGCAGCCCGTCTGAGCTGCCTGACGGCAACAGGCTACAGACAGTCCCCATGGGCAGTCAATCTGTGTTAGTGCAGATTTCATAATTTCCTGCACTCAAGACATTTTGGCTCAATTTCTGCAGGCAGGCCAGTGTATGCAGCAGGCTTGCTGCTCCTGGCACTGCTCCTCATCAGGAAATACCTGCACTCAGCGTCGGTCCCTGGTAACTTCGGCAGCTTCTTGTGACAGCTTGGTTTCCTGCAGCTAGTGTTCTTAGGAACTTCCTCACTTGTTTCCCCGAAAAACACATCCCTCATATGCCATTTTTATTTGAAGCCCGTCAGTCCTCACAGAGCAACAGTTTTACAGTTTAACAACTACCTCCCCCGTTGTGTCAGAAAAGCAAGCACAAATGCAAATATTTTAGGGGTAGCTATTTCAAAACAATATTCTGATTGGTTGCCACTGTTTTCTGATGGACAAAGAGGGAAACTGCTCATGCTCTACATGGCTGCTCTTCACATTTCCACAAAGCTGAGGCTCTACTATGCCTGTTTTGATATCCATCTTAATGTTTTCCTCAGTGTTTTCCTCAGCCATGGGTGCTGGGGCATGCCCCCCACGTCTGGCCCACAGTGGAAGTGCCTGCCAACAGTTTTATTCATTGCCCAAGTCCTCAATGGGATTCAAGTGGAGCCTCCAGTGCCTGTGCTGCAGACAGGGTGAGTGAGGTGTCTGGGGGGCAGTCTGTGCCACATCTCATGAGACCTGTCTGTCTGTCTGTTGTGTGTAGTCACCTGTGCTACAGCCCCGAGCTATCACCCACCACTGCACTGAGTCACTTTACGGAAGTGAGCAGGAAGGAACAATATTGGAGGGTTCACCAACTGATATTTATTTTAACAAAAAGTACATGTGTCATTGATCATGTTAGTCCCAGCCCAATAACTCCTGAGCATTTGGGAATATCCACAGCACCTCACTTGGCTCCATTTAATTTTGCTGTAATTTGAGCTGTTTGGAAATGATGTGAAGAAGACTTTTAAAGATGATGAAAAAGCTAGTTATATAAGCTAAACTTCCTTTCCGAGACCCATACTGACTTTCTACATTATTGTTAGTACCTAACCAACATATATTACATATCAACTCATGTTCTGCAAATGAGACCCTTTTTTTCCTCCTTTTTAACATAGGTAAATAATAATGACAATTAAAAATACCACTTATATCTAATCTAAATAACATTTTCAAACAAGACAGATTTTGCCACCTTTTACTGGGATTAAATGACTCTTCTCTTACTGGAGTATGTTTCTGTTCTTTTAAATGGTACCTAGCTTCAGGTTCTTCTCCTGCCATTTTCCATCATGGGTAATTGCAGCAGGGTGGTGTTTTTGTACACCTGTGTAAAAAAGACAGAGTAAATGATTTGGCCCCTATGAGAATAAAATCAGGGAAAAGAGGACATAAAAAATAATGAATGCTTTTTCTTGGAAAAGTTGTCCCTGCCCTCCTCTACAGCAGGGCTTTGTGCCTGGCCAAAGGCTTGAGGGGCAAGAGGTGCCTGAACTGAGTGTGGAAGTGGGCTTCTCTGGGCTGCTGAAGTAGCCCCTGCGGGACTGCTGGAGAGCCATGACTGGAGGGATGGCCAGAAAAGAAGAAAATAAGGCTTGTATTTAGAGTGGTGGCCATAAGGAGACCAGCTAGGAAGAGACTAGAAAAATCAAAGGAATATGTTTTCAGCTGTGCCTGAGTGAAGTAAATGAGTAAAAACTGGTGCTGGGCTTGGGCAGGCACATAATCAAGAAAATAGTGAGATAGGTGGCTGGCAGGAGGAGCTTCAAGAGGTGGTGTTACTGGGGAGCTGGCAAACTGGGACTAGGGTGCAAGCAAGAGTGACAGAGTGACAAAGACTCACTTTATGACAGCTCAAAGCAGTTGTGCAAGAACACAGAAGGCAGTGCATGTGAAAGCAGGTGGTCTCTAGACTGTCACACTCTAGAGACTAAAAGCAGGAAGGCCAAGAAAGACAGTGCTGGACACATCTGCACTGGAGATGGGACACCATGTCCACATTCCTTGAAGGACAGGATTGGAAACTCCCTCATGGCATCTTGGTTCCTTCTGGCACTGAAATGTGGGCATACACTGGCCATGCTCTGCTCTGTTTTTCCAAAAAGACTGAACGGGAGCTGTGCTGCCCTGCAAAAGGGATATGAGCTAAGCCACAAGGGACCTTTGGGCATGACCTGATACAATCCAGCTGCTGCATGAACACGAGGGTAAGGTGTCTAGGCATGACCTTGGGACAGGACAGACTTGGCAAGGCCCAGGTGGAAGAAAGAGGAAAATGTCAGGAGAATCAGAAATAAAGATGCCACCTGTCACCTGCATAGACCTCAAGAGGTTCACAAATCTCAGCATTGTGATTAAACTCTAAGTGATAACCGTCTTCTGAAGCAAAGACGTCATGGCAGATAGAGAGGTTCAAAGCACAGGATTTTAGACTGTCACAGTGAAATTTCGGTTTCTTCTTTTTAATCACTGCACTATCTCATTCACCTCACAGGATGAGCCAGCTCTTGAGAGAAATAAGTGTGTAGAAAACACTGTTTCTCATGTTATTTAAGTTGATGGAAATGCCTGATTGCATAGAGGTGGGCTTGATTGTTCAGTTAGTCAAGCAGTGTTCTAGGGAAAGGGCTTTGTTACTGCTATGAAGTTCCTTTGTCATGGTGGGCAACTTAAGACAATGAGCCTTTCCAGACTTGATCACTCTTTCCAAATGGCTAGCTTGATGCTTAGAGTTCTTTTTTCAAGAATGATGATCACGCAAAACCTATTTAAAGTTACGCTTCAGATGGTTGTGGTGGCCAGTCTCTTCGCGAACGAAGAACCGGGGAAGGTCTTTCCACCTTCCAGCCTGCGCATTGGATTTTTTTAGGTGAGACACAGTGTGCGCGGAACTGAGCCCACCCTTTAATCCTGAGGTTCATCTGCCGGGGCCAAGCACGCTTGGACGGTGGCAGCGAGGTCCTCAGGACGTAGATGGATTGCCTTTACAGGCTAACGAGCTCCATCTGCCCGGGGAGGGGCCCCGACCGGGAATCGAACCCGGGTCTCTGCAGTGACAGTGCAGTGTGTTTGTAAGCAACTGTTGAAATACAAAATAAGCAAGTCCACATTAAATTGTGGAGTCAAATACACGGCTGCTTCACAGCACTGCCTGTCCATGTTCCAGGTCCCCAGAGTTGTATACTAATTAACACCTTCTTACAGGCCTGCAACATTGTGTGAATGAATAATTTGCGTTTCACAAAGATGACATTAAAATAAGAACTAGGGAGAAATGATAATATTCATCCCTCATCAGGATGGGCTTTGGACTTCCCGCAAATACATGAACACGGTGAAGAGAAAGCATCATAAAAAATAAAATAATGAACAGCTACAAAGTGAGGATTCCAGGAAAAAATACTATGCCATCATGTAATTAATATGACCTTAATTGAGACACTTCCTAATTTCGGGGTACTTAACTCTTTAATACTCCTTTCCTATAGTGTTTTGCTGAATACATGACACACTGCTACAACTCCAGTGTCTCTCACACCTGGGTCTTAATATTTGGGACAGATATTCATATGAATTGATAAGAGATTTTTTGAGAATTAAGAATAGATACCCTGCATTTGGTCTGAACTCAATTTCTAAAATGGAAGTAAAACAGATGCCAGTTTGGAAAATTTTACTTAAGCAGTTACTCTTCTCCTGGTGATTTAAATGTAAGTAGCATAGGATTTTAGCAAAACTCACTCATCTTTTACACTTACACAAGATGTAACACATCAAATCTTGTCTCCAGCTATGCCTGTTACGCAAAAAAAAAAAAAAAAAAAAGACATAATGCAGGTTCCTTGCAGAATTTAGTCTCCTGTTTTAATGCCCAGACTTGATCTGTTTGCCCTTGTAGCGTCATAAATCGTAGATGTAGGTGTATACCATTTTTTCTTCCCGGTCTGCTTTCCTAAAAATTGCTCATAAGTTAAATGTGCATGAAATGAAAGGTACAGTTTTAATATCATCTTTAAAGAAAATCCTCCAAATGCCTCCCCCCCAGAAAAACACCACACCATTGCTTAGGATTATCTATTTATTTATTTCAGTTAAAACAAACATACAATGTTTCATTGAAACTGTGTTGTTGGCGAACAGTCTAGCCAACAACTGCAGCTGTACTGCTGGCCTCTACCAATTCGGTGGGTATTTACATATGTACATGGGTGTACCGCAGGATGCCCGAATTTGGCAGCCTAACAAATAAGTTAGATCACAGAGGTTGTTAACTTGCTGCATTCAGAAAATCGTAACATCCATGGTAAATCTTGGAGGAACAGTATACATGAACCTGAACAATGCTTTCTATGGACCCAAGTGATTCCTGTGTTTATTGCAACATATACATTTGTAATAAATACAATCTTAGTGTTTTATTACACATCTTCGGTGTAACACTCTTCTTCCATTTCTGTAAGCATTATACTTTGTTGTAAAAGGCTCTTTCCTTTGACAGTTGTTCTACAGATGTACAACATGAACAACTCCTTGAAATGATGTTACAATCAGTAATGAGAGAGGAATATATACATAAATCCTGGATTCCAAACCTACATTATATACATTATACTTACAGTATATACACACATACAATTTAATTTATGTACATAGACTATCATAAATATTGAAAAATAGGTTTAGTCTTAATGGATTAATGTTTTATAAATAACATGTTACATTTATGACTGAAATATCATGGAAGACAGTAATGTCTAACTGAGGTGACAAAACAGTGGTTTAATACTGAAGCTGCTCTTTTAGGTGGTTTGTAATGTAGGTAACTTTAAACAGATAGCTTTGGAAAAAATAATAATTAAAAAAATCATATGTTGGAAAACAACCCAGCCAAGTGGAACTCAACTGTTGCAGGTGGAGAGTCAGTCATCAAATAATATAACACACAATGTATAATCTGGAAATTGCTACATTCAGAAAATTAATTACAGGTACAATACATTATGAGGTTTCATCACAAAAATCTTCCTCCTTTCTGGTTGCTGAGAAGGACTTGGTAGTAACTTCTCATTTACAACTCCTTCCTTTTCTATGGTTACTGTGAGAAAGGAGGCTATTTCTCACTTCCCTCCTTTTTGAATGCTAGCAAGGGAAACACTTTATCCCTTATGTGCTACAAATTGCTCAAAGGCAGACAACATTTTAATCCTCTTCCACCTTTGCACATTTGTGGAGGAAGAAGAAAAGCTGCCAAAGTACTGAAGAGACGTGTGCTCAGCACTTCTGTGGAGATCAGGTAACACGGGATAGTTAGCCATGGATGTACAGTACCTGAGGCAGAGAAGTACCTAAGGAGTGTTAGTCAGTGCTGACTCCAGGACTGTTAATTGCCAGTTGAGTACCACCAAACTAATAATACAAGTAACACAAGAGAAATCTAATTTCTCATTACAGTTTTACACTATAGACTTAAGTGACCAGTACTTACAGTCATGCAGAAGTATCAATACAAAATACCTGCAGTTGTTTTTCAAATATTTTAAATGGCTGGGCAGAGATTGATATTATCTGCCAAACACTGTTGTTTAGATTTGTTTGATTAATTCTACAAGAGCAAAAAAGTCTCAGGCACTGTTTAATCAACGGATTACAGGCCCTTACTTGTTCCCTCTGACACAAAGACTGTGCAGACCTTTGTAAATCATATTTTAAAACATTGTGTCAGATGAAGATAGTTGACCACATTGCCATGATTATTTCATTAATAATCTCTCTCTAGGCTTTTGTACCCAATATTGCTGTGTTTGAGAACCTCTTATAAGCCAAGTACGCTGTTACACAAGTGTTATTTCTCTTCAACCTGGGATAAGAACAAAAGAGTAAACATGCACTAGAAACAAAATAGCTCATCACAACCATACAGCACCTGCTTCATCAGCTAAGGCTCATAAGAAACCTACCTATTTCTGAAGCAAACAAGTATGAGATGACTATCCAGCCTATGAGGTTATCTTTAATACTACTATACAGTATAAATTGGAAGAGGAATCCCAGTTGTATATGTGAAGAGAGTTTGTACCAAGCATGAAATATTGGTGCAGTTATTTTGTGGATTTGACTCAGAAACAGAATAGTCAAGTAATTCAAAATCCAATAATGGATGAGGAATTTGAGAAATACTGTACAGTTTTTGAACATTATACAAGTAGTAGACTAATTTAGGACCTTTCTGATTTCCTACAGAGTGTTTCAAGATATATTGGACAGAAAAACCCCAACAAACATTGCTACAACTGACAATGGACCTTATTAGTAAAGGGAACTTGAGGAGGGAGTTTTGTATTAATGGCATCCTATGATCCAGTGCCATTCAGTTGATATCTACAATAGGAAAAAAACACAAAAAAAGAGCAAAAACCCCAAACCCTGTTTTACTCAATTGCACTACTGAGTACCTCAAGAAGGGAAATGTCAATGCTGTCTTTACAATTTTAGATTACCTAAGCTTTTCTCAAATGTACCCATTTCTAAAAGGTGGGGTTTTTTAAAGCTTGAAAATTTGTTCCCACACCATTTTTGGGTACTAAGGTAACTGTAGTTACTTAAGTAAGCTGACAAATGATTTTCAGGATTATTTTCACTCTAATTTGACCTACATGAATTTCATAGGAAGCATTTATTATCAGAGAATTTTGACATGAATTGGTTCATTATCTGTTTTGGTCATCAGAAGCATTTTTAAAATAAAATTTCTTCTAATTATGCCTCTACAGAATTATAGAATATGCTGAGTTGCAAGGGACCCATCAGGATCATTGAGTCCAACTCCTTGCCCTGCACAGGACAGCCCAAGAATCACACCATGGGTCTGATAGCATTGTCCAAACGCTTCTTGAACTCCTTCAGGCTTGGTGCTCTGACCACTTCCTTAGGGAGCCTGTTCAGGTGCTCAACCATCTTCCGGCGAAAAACCTTTTCCTGATATCCAGCCTAAACTTCCCCTGACTCAGCTTCATGCTGTATCCTTGAGTCCTGTCACTGGTCATGAGAGTGCAGAGATCGAGAAGTCAAACTAACTTTAATAATTTAATTTTGGATACTGATAAAGTATTCTTAATGAGCTCTTCTATGTCATTCTTTCCTTCTTTTTAGAAAAGTTTCTTACAGTCAAAATAGTGCTTTTGAGGTCCATAAGAATTTTTGGTACAAAAAATAAGTGTTTCTCTCTCTCTCTCTCTCTCATTGGTTATTTAAACACTTTGCTGTAAATTAAAGAGTTCTTTCTCACATCAAATGGTTCCATTAGGCACATTCAAGTAAAATAACAAAATATCCAAGTAACAATGACAAAAGCCAAACATGGCTTGATAAAAGTCTACAGAGAGTTCTGTCCATTCTCTGGAATGGAATAAAGTTGTCACTTCCTTCAGCCAGACACTCACATAGTTTGATGTTAATATCCACTTCCATCATGCAGAATAGTTTCTTAAAGACAGAGTTCAGATATTCTACAGTCAGAAGAACCATCAACAAAGAATCTGCCTTTTAAAGGAAGCTGAATAGCTCATTTTCGTTCTCAGTAGGTATCTGAGTGAACACTGGCATTTGAAGTGGAATATTAGAGATTAAACCAGGGCAGTTAATGGCCATCAGATGTAACATCATGGGTCCAGTCTAGAATAATCAGTGTCATACACCCAGTCATCACAATTATACCACTTAGAAAGAAGAATGCAGCCTGGAAAAAAAAAAAAAAGAAAACATAAAAGTACTTCAGATTCTGCTATGACACTGTTGTTTAAACCATGATATACACCTATAAAGTCATGCCTGTGTATAACAAAAATGCCACTGCTCATGGAGGACAAAGTAAAAGAGACAAGAGATCAAGTCAGTGATAAGGAGCTATCTTTCTCATACTTGGGGTCCTTTTTCAAATCAAAAAGTACTTTTTTTTCAATACAGCAGACCTCACCCTCAACTAAGGAAAGTTAATGTAGCTGCTGATACCAGCCAGGCTATGCCACTGTGCTGACTTAACTCAGTATGCCTAAGACTTGATTCTGAGTCAGTATGTCTATGATCAGTAAGAGCACCAAGAACAGTCAGGATAACCCAAACAATGGGCAGAGGTCAGCTTTTATGGGGTAAATGACATACATACATTTTAAAAGACTATTTAAAGATTGTTAAGACTTTTTCAGTATAGCTCTTAAGCGTATTCTGTTGAAATCTGGTTCTTATCAGCAACAGAATGACCCAACTGTTGTTGAGATTTGGGGCAACGCGCTGAGAGAAGTCACTGCAGTGAACTGAGCCTTGGGCTGGTCAGCCCCTTAGCTTCTTAATTTCTATGTAGCTCCCACATTTTAAATTAAGATAACATTAAATACCAATTCACTGACTACTTGTAAATTCTTAAATTATGAAGCAGAAAATAATTTTTTTTCTCTAAATTAGTAAACAAGTGTAATTACATATCTGTCTATACATACCCCGATCTTTTGCACTGATTTCATTGGTTCCTTCTTCACTAATTTGATATAGAAGGCAGAAGGAAGTATAAAGATCAGCATGGCAGCTGCAGAAGCACCTGTATAGAAAAAGCACAGAAAGAAACATTCATAAACAGGTAAACACACTTTATTTACACAGGAATTGCCTTTTCTAAAATGTGAAAGACTGCTTGAAATGACAAGAGAATGCTTACCAATGAATCCAAAGATGTCTCGAATAGTAGGGACAAAGATAACAAGCACATTGGTAAACGCCAGAAGAGCAATTGTAATGGAACAGTGACGCCACCATTTGAACTCCTTCCCTGCCCACAACAGCTGTGTAATGGAACTGCGGATCTTTTGAAGGGGGAAAAAAAAAAAAAAAGACAGTTTAGTATTTATTGTGGAAGACACTGATTGTCACCTGAGTTACGATTTTCCTTCTGCAAGTATTTTAATGTTCCTTTCCTGAACACTTCATATTTAAATAAAAGTCAGAATATGAAAGAATTTTTTTAGATATTTGCTTCCTGCACTTGAGACGCAGCTCTGTGTTTCTGAGTTTTTTTTCTCTTTTCAGTGATTTAGATTTTCAAAGTGCAGTCAGTAATGGAAAAAAAAAAAACAAACAAAAACGAGAAAAAACATCTGTTTTGAACTTCGAACAAAAATAAATTCCAGGGAATTTTGTAACATCTATGGATGTTGCTCAATAACGCATACCTAAATGGTCCGGTCGTGTCCACAACGTATGTGCAAAAACACGCTGACTTTTGTAAGCTGATAATACAGCAGTGCAAGTACTTTATATAAAGGGCCAATCTGTTTCATTTTCCCAATTAAATCATACCAGGAAAACAATATAACTGAATGTATTTGTACCTGCTGCTTTGTAAATGTTGCATATTTATTTAACTTAACAGCATAGCCATATTTCATCAAGCTTATTGGAATGAATTTCTGTTTTCAGTTAAGAGAAAAACTCTCTAAATTAATAAACAGGAGCTGCCAAATCAGTAAATGACTGCAGGAATAAAGGTCATGAAAATAAAAACTGGTAGTAAGACATAAAAAAAAATTACTTACTGGGAAAATAACTACAGGTACGGTGAGGGTTACAGCCATAAGAACAGCGAGACGCACAATAAGAAGGAGAACATCAGCACCCAGATAAGCTGAGTAGGTATGAAGCAGTTCTGGCTCGACTTTTTCTATAAAGAAAATAGTATTTTAATTAGATGTAGTTGATAAAGTTTTCAAACAACTGCTTCTGCTCTAAATTCTAAGCAAATTTTACAGTCACATCAATATGAATTGAAAGCCTTAAGAGCTCCTATAAGCATGCCTCCATTTTACACAGGGATGACTTGGAGGTACGGAATTGTTTTAATCCAATTTTAATCCTGTGTCTCAGACCTAATTCTGCCACTGATCTCCTTTTGGGTGAGCCCTTACAGAAGTACTAAAAAAAATCCCAACAAACACTGTATATTTAGAACCCGCAGTAAATGCTTTCTTGTTCTATCTTTAAAATAATACTGTGGTTTTCCAGAACATAAGTAATTAAAAAGAAAGCAGAGAAGGCAATATTCACCATAAAATGTCAGGTATCCAAAGAGAGCAGCCAATAAATACATCAGGAACATGGCAAAAAAAGATACATAGGATACACTCATCATTCTTTTACGGCTTCGGCTGTAAGGAAATGAAACATTGTTAGTTTTGAGAACATACTGTTTCATACTACTTTGTATGTTTAGTGAAATTATAGATATATGTCTAACATTTACCTTTTCAGTTCTTCATAAATAGGAAGAATTGCAGGATGGCAGACAAAAGAAAACGTTAGGATTGGGACAGCATAAACAGTCTGAAAAAAAAAAAAAGTATCTTTTGTAAGTATCTCAACTGACATTAAAAATTTAAGTTTAGAAATAATCATCAGTAGATTCTTCAGTTTTTACTTAGGCATTACTTTATTTTTTGAAAAAGACTAGCTATTCTTTACACCAGAAACTTTGGAAAAAATTAAAACAAGTTTGTATTTTCTTAAACCCAGACCCTGAGGACCAAATCATCTCAAATGTCACTGAAGCCCAGGCTGATCTGAATGTATCTGCATTCAAAATTACGTTTTGCAACTCACAGGCTTAAGCCATTATAGCCTGATCTTGGTATTAGGTATTACACATGCTTCTCCATGGGTGGACATTTACCACTGCAACTGGGAGCATTCATGAGTCAAGAATTTGTGACAGGGAACAAGTCTATCCCAAACCCTGGCAAACACTTCCTATTTGCATGCTTTTATAATTTTATTTCCTTCATCTTCTTCTGCAATCAACTGTTTAAAATGCTTCAATAGCTTACTTGATAAAGCTTAAGAAATGCTGTGCTGAAGAATGAAAGATGTTTTTTTTGCTACTCAAACAGACATCTGCTAACTTCTCTGTATTTGGAATGTGGAAACACCCAGTTCACATGAGTTAAACAGTGCCCAAGTCTACTGGAACAGAAAGTCTTAACATATCCCAAGTTTAGAACTGGAGAAATACCTGAAGGAAAAATGACCTCATTTATTTGCTACATATTTAGTCTCGGTTATTTTCAACACAGAGCATTTGATTTTCAGTCAGTTACCTGTGAATTGAAGATGAAATATTTTGGCTTGCACATATCATCATTTGTTATGTTTTCATTTACAAAAGGTGCCAGTGTTGCATTTAATAGTGTCGCATTCATAACGTAACTGTCCATAGGACAAGGAATCTGAAACATCTTCCAAATTACCTAGAAATAAAGCCATGCATTTATTATCACTTCAATTAATACAAGATGTGAAAATTTTCAGAAACTGTGTTTAATTTCACTTTGAAACACAGTTTTACAAGCACTGAAAGTCAACAAGATTATACTTACAACAATCAGAAAGAAGACCATGCAAAGTAAGGAAAAGCCACTGGTATAGCCCAAATACCCTGTGATCAAGAAAGATAAAAAAATCTAAGGCATAATAAACAGAAACACCATTCATTTCAAAACAGAATGACAAAATATATTCTATCAGTGATCTCTTCAGATTGTGATTTTCTTAGCGTTACACACAGAACTACTTAATTATTCATTGACTTTCCGCTAATCTCAACCCAGATCTGAAAGTTCTGAAACACTTATTAGGGTCTGTACATACAGTGAGTCTGTAATATTAAACTTTTTAGCTTATAAGAAAAAAATGCAAACTAAAACCCACAGCAACAACTATATGAATTGTTTATTGTATAAGAATGATTATATTTTTAATTCTTGTAACATGAGCTACTAGATAATGTAGCCTTTTCCCTTCTGTTTTTATTGATTTACCTAATTTCTAGAAAATACAATAATAAGTCTCATGTTGAGACAATTATTAAGGTTCTATTACAAGATTCTCTGAACAAGTAAGTGTGTTAACTGAATTATTCACATATATCACTGAATTACAGCCATTTCAGAAAAACATCTGGTATGAATATTCTGCTACTGCTTGGGATCTAAAATGAAAAGACATTGCAAAGACAATTTAACTGCCCAGGGTCATTCTTATTCTTTGGAGAGGCTTATAGGACAGCTAATAACAACATATTATTTCACTATTGACCAAAAGAAGTCAAACTTTGTATTAAGAACACAAAGTTACTATTGAGCCTTGTTCTAAAGCCATGTATCTACTGTTCTTTCATTTTCCACAAACGCATCTGTAATTTAGGATACTTATATTCATTACTTTTTTTCTTTTTTTCAAGCAGACTGACAGGAATTACCTATACACTAATTAGTCCCAAGAGACAAGTTTGGAAACAGTTGTTAATTCACACAGCATTTCAAGACTCAAACATTTTATCAATCCATTTCCCCACAGCATTTTCAATGTTTTTTTTTAATTTGGATTGCACTCTCCCGCTTACCTAAATTTTTCAGTAAGGACAGGGGAAGAATGAGGATGACAGACACCAGCAGCACTAAATAGTCACCATTAAGATACCATTCTCTGTAGAAAAAAAAGTAATATTTTTAAGTAATCAAGTATTTAAAAATTATATTTTCAGTTTAGTCTTCACTAATCTTCTACAACATATGACTCCTTAAAAATATGCACTACTTCTTGTCACAAAGGATTAGTGTTCAATTTCCTATATGGGCCTAATGCTCTACAATAGTTTCTTATCTCACCCCAAATCTGCATTGTGCCTTTCCTTTAGTGTCCTTTTATAAAAATAATATGCATCTGGAAGTCAGAAAACAGAAAATCAAATGACTGGTTAGAAAAAAGTCAATTGGGATCAATCATGGAAAAAAATTGTTATTTTTTTAAGTGTTGGTCCCAACTCTCCAGATGTATTAGAATACTGCAGAGCCCCAACAGCGTTTCCTCTTTAAGTGGAAATGAAAATCTATTGGGTGCCCTGTGGGAGTTAAGCAAAAACAGGTGAGGGCTGAAGGTAAGGCAGTAGCTCAAGCCCACTGGCTGAGAAAACTCCAAAAAGCACAGGGAGTCTCTTGGAGGCACATTTAGTCCCTTTCAGTAGGGAAAAACGGTAAGAACCTCAGAATATTCTTTCTTCAGAACATTTTTGCCACTTATTCCATAAGAAACAGCAGGTATTTTTTGACAAAACATTTTTGAGCATTAGGAGATTAACATATTTTTTGAAACACAGAAAAACAAAGTTCTAGAGGATTATCCTATATGCTTAAAGCAGTTAAAATAACTGTAAGCATTTATTCCCAAATTTTAATATTTTATATCCTTTTATGGTGTTATCTAACAGTATTTATTTTAAAATGCAGTGTATACTATTGAGTTAAAAGAAAAATTATTTATTTAATTGGAATTTTGTATATGCAAGCATAACTGCTGAGGTATAACCTTTTTTATGGTAGTGGAAATATGGAATAATTAACTGACTTGCTCGGATTTATGTAATAAATGCAAAAACAATTTGGTCATCTCTTTACTCCGTTTTATCTGGGATAACTAAATGTAAAAAGGACTATTTTAGGAACTTCAAATGTATAGGACATTTAACATAGTACACTTTTTTTTAAATGCAGTAGTCTTGTGTTAAATTTAAAAGAAATCACAGCACAGAGAGTCTTTGCATTTGATACAGTTATAAGAATGTACACTGCTATTGTGCATACCCCATATAGAGGCCATCAGGACTTTCAGATCAAGGACTTGAAAGATTTTCCGTGCTAGAGAGTAAAGAATGGGATTAATGCAGCTTCAAATACAGCTAAGTATTTTAAAAGTTGCTAAACAAATTTTAATAATGGAGCTAGTATCTGTAATATTGTCTCAGAATTTCAGATCTTTTACAGTAAGCATTATCTTGGGACATTTAAGCAGGTAAGTGCTTACATTTTAGGCACCAGGCTGCCAGAGTGGAATCCATGCCAATGATAGCCACCCAGACTCCCCTAAGCAATCCATGGAGAGAATCAGTTAAACGGCGTTCACAGTTGCCAGAGCACTGAGAAAATATTTCATTTAAATCAGTGTACAGCTACCTGTAATATTTAATTTAAATCAGTGCCAGCCAACAAGAAAACATTTAAGACATAGATCTTGATTTCTTAATTTTCTCTGCCAGATTTGCCAAGCAGCAGCTGTATCCAGTGAGATTCACAGCCTTTAACTTTCCCTCTTGAACAATTTCGAGTTCTTTACTGAAGATGGGACAGTTAAAAATATTTGCCTCCAAGCCCCCTTCTAAGTACTGGTTACTCCAGGGACTTTCTTAAGAATTAAAAAATAAGGACTTGAATTCAGCCAAAGGAGAGAAATGAACCTTCCCAGCAAAGAATTTGTAAACATAACACTATTAAGTAGATGGGGTAGGTGCAGTATCTGAGTACAATAAAAAGAAATAAAAAAAAAAAATATGGCTAACATTGTTGTTATAACAGTATGTATCAGCAAGCTGTACAAACACCACCAAATGGTTTGAACACCCCTTGGGGAACACAGGCAGAAAAATGCCTACCTTCTGAACTCAGGCTTAGGTGTAAGTTGGAGTCTTGAGCTGCTCAGCCCTCTCAAGACTGGGACACTTCAGGACAAGGCACAGAAGTACAACTCTGAAGAGTGAGATTTATAGCACTTAACTCTATCCATCTGAACTCAAGCATCTTGTTTTTACACACCCTCTCAATACAGAGTGATATGATTAACTGTTCTGTGGAGATGCCCAAAACATGTGTCTAAGTCAGGTGCATTGAACTGACTACTACAAAGGATCACCTTTCTCCACCGATAATATGATGAGCTCAAAATATAACTTTCAGACGGTATGGTTAGATAAAACTGACCCTATCTGAGGCACCTATATTTAAAGTCAAGCATGAAAGCCACTCCAGAGTCAACGTGTCTCCAAGGCTAGATGGCAAGGCATCCACCAGTTTAGTCTTGGGCACAGAAACTCAGGGTTACATCCCAGATTTAGTCCCCCTATCTTTTTGAGAACTTTTTTGTTGCTTAAGACATTCATTGCATAACTGCACCTTAATCTTATATTTAAACACTTCCCACAATATTAACACTAGAAAACCAAATTAATCAGACCAAACCAGTTAGATGCAGTAAGAAAAAAAACCCAACAGAACAAAACCAAAACAAAAAAGCCAACCATAACCACATTTATCTTTCCTTAGAGTATGTACAGACTGGTACATACATTAACACTTACCTGATGTTCTTTAGAGAACAGCTTTCTGTAATATGATGCAATACCTGTATTGTTCTACCCTTTTCCCAGGTCAGGCTGGATCTAAATGAAGTGAAGCACTCAGGGGAAGGGAAAACTTACTGTATCTCTGTCTGAGTAAGAAGCTACCCTACGGTGTACCGAACGTAGTCTTCATATAAAAATATATACAGTCTCCGTATTTGTTTCTCCTAATAGTTTCTCTGATGAGGAGTTCTAACACCTACCCTGCGGTCTCTTCGATGTTCATAAATGTCTTGATGACCAATGGTAACTCATATTTCACTATGAAGAGGTAGCTTGACATAGCTGTAGGTGAATAACATCATAGATCATTACAAATATAGAATATGCCACACGATGCAAGAATCACATAACATGTTTCATAACTTCACTTGAACACAAGCGGTTAATGAACACATGTTGTGTGAAAATAAGTCTCCAAGAATAAGTAGGGAACAATTACTATTGACAGTACAGACATTTTAAGATCTTGTCCTCACCTCCAATGTTCTGCATTGTAATAGATCCAGAAGCAGCAAGTTTTCCAGCCATACCAAAAGCCTTCATTCCCAACTGTTCATACAATAAAGATCCTAAAAGAAAACATAATATTCCATTGGAAAGGTGTGTTTCACAAAGATTACCATATGAAACAAATACCATGCCTGTAATACAGTAATTTGCCATACCTCCTTCATTGGCAGTCTTCAAAAGAAGATGCACTGAATACAAAGAAAATATTGAAACAAATAGCAGGAGTATCCTGGGGAGAGAAAAACATGCAAATTTGTAATAGAAATAAATGTCTTCCGGTAGCCCTATTAAATACAGATGTATCAAACACAAACATTATCCATATTAAAATAAAAAAAAGTAGATTCTAAGGTCAGCTAAAACCATTTTGAAACCTAATTAGTGCCTTGTTTAGAAATGATTTGATACTAAATTGCATTTCAGAGGCATACAAAGAAATTCAAGTGCGAGATAAAACAACTCCTCTACTTAGTGTAAAGTGGCACTAGCACCACCAAGCTGTCAGGCTATTATAATTGGCTACATTTGATATAAATAACTTAACAAAGTACCAATGGGAATGGTGGTTGTGGGGGTTGTATCCTTCCAAGAAACTATTTCTCCTGTCTACCTATCCTTGTTCAACACTGTATCATGCATCCATTGAATACAGTTGTGACTAACTGCAGCTGAAGTGAAGATTATCTCTTGGTCTTAAATCAGCTTTTCAGCGTAAACCTATTTTATGTCTTTTTTACTGTAAAGATGAAACTGCAAAAGCCTTAAAGAATTGAATGAAAATTCAGAAACACTGAGAGCTGTGTTTTCAAATGGAAATATCTATTGTAATAAAAAAAAAATAAAAATTCTTTCCCCAGAAGTTAACTCTTCAGGTGTGCTTACATGGGAATCGCTAGTGGCTTGTTTATCTTCCCCACAGCTTTTACAGGCAATGCATGTTATTTCCAGAAGCACATGTGAATCACCTAAAATTCAGATCTCTCAACAACAAATCTCTCCCTCAACAAATGCACTTTCTGGAGTGGCACACTAGGGGGGACTTCTCAGCTGCAAAGAACACAGTGGAAAATTACAATACATTCAAAAAAACCCCTGTTCCATCTTTATAAGAAACCTAAGAATCAGCATATCTGCTCAAAAATGGAAAGCTGCATTTAGCGCTCCCAGAGTACTCTTTACATTTCCTTTTGCGCCATTTTTAACGTTGGTGAAATTATTAAATGCTGCACAAAGAACTGGAAACCAGAAGACTTGAGAAAAACTTCACAGATCTGTACAGGGGATTCAGGAAACTTGTCTTACGGTCCCAACTCAAGACCAACACGTGCACACAAATAAACCTATTTCTGACAGGTAGAGGTTAACTAGGATTTGACTCAGCCATCAGCTAGAAACAGCACAGCTGAGATGTGTCAGGGTTACATTACTTTAAAACAGTGCAGATCCTGGACCCCTCAATCCTAATCTGGAATGGCTGCCTACAGTGTTGACAAGATCAGTCAGCAAATTCATCTCGAAGCTCTCTCTGTTTCTGGCTTCCAGACCATACTATTTATTTAGTGCTAACACAAGTGACAAGTCACAGCACTGACACAAGTGATTCCACAGTCTTGGAAGAATTTACTGCCTTAATCAACTGCATCTGGATCTGAATCTATAACCTAGTTATCATAGCATGCCTGTAATGCCCTCAGTGTCATCATAAATCCTCAGTATCGTCAGTGATTAACTGTTTCCCTGCTTCAGAACTACAGAAACTACACTAAGTTTTAAAACATAACAAGCTAGTTTGTCTTTGAAAGTCTTAATGTAAGTAGATCTGAACACAGTACCTGGACATGAAAGGCAACTAAATGACCTCAGCACCCAATTGCTAAATTGACAGTTTTGAACATTTTTTCTAAAGAACAAAAGGAACACTCTGAGTCCATTCAAATACCTTAAATTCTCTTTTTTTCTCTCCTCAGAGACATTCTAATGTGCATTATGCTGATTATATGTGCTGCAGTACATCTTTAGAGCATGAAACTGATGTGTAGAAAGATGGAGTATCTATCTCTTCTGAATTCATGCTAAAGTTGTTCATTCAGTTTATCATCATCATCTAAGTAAGTGAAAATCTTAGTAAAAGATTAACAAATCACCATATACTTAAAAGCCTTTAGATCAGAACTCTATACCTTAGTAGTTTCCTCAGAAAATCTGAATCCCACCCTGATGCACTCTGAAACATCTGGAAGCAAATCTAACCTACATTCTAGAAATAGTCAGGGAAATTTCTAACTGAACATTATTCTTCACGTGTTCTTCAACATTCAGCACATTTGTCTATTTCCAGGATAAAAGCACAAAGTTCCTTTAAACATATCCACGGATACTCATCTGCAGTCAAGTCACTGATGTAACGTGAGCTGAAGTGCCCTCAATACACGAAAAATGTACTTTCCCAAGACAATTAAAATTGCACATAATTTGTACACTTTCCTCATGTAATTTTCAACTACATTACTACAGTCTGTCTTACACCTGAAAGCTTTTGCCAATGTAGACATACCAATAAAGACATGCTGGTTATTCCACATCCCTCCCTGGTAGGCAGGCAGACACCAATTTCTTGGTGTAACTGAAACCAGTTGCCTGAATTGAGTAAAAGCACAATAAAAAGGATTTCTTTTTTGGTCTAAGTACACTGTAACTCTGTAGGCACAACAGTATCAGTTGAGAAAAAGGATATTATGTCCCTGATTGGGACTTGGGTAACAGAACTTTCATGGGAATTCTATCAGTTATTCATGAAAAACTACAACTAAGTACTGTAAAATGTTTCTGTGGGTTGTAGAACTTGCAATGAAGCTGTTTAATTTTTGCAAATCCTTCTGAATGTATCAGTCTTTAAATTTAAAACAAGCTATAAATCCTAAAATGCAATTCTGCATCTATGGATATATTTTGGATGATGGATACTACTGAGTATTTTCTAGAGCTCATGTTCTTACACCAAGTATTTTTCCATTAGGAATTACACAGCAGCAAGATTTTTTTATTTTTGATGAACCAAGAGATACTTACACAAAAAGAGCAATTCCAGTGTTAGCCATGGCAAAAGAAAGACCCAGGATGCCACTACCCACAATAGCATTGCTCAGATTAAATACTGACATTCCAAAGGAAGTAGTACCCGGATGCTGACAAAGGAGAGACAGGTAATGATTAATAGAAAGTTATTACTCATCTCAGAATTAAACATAATTTTGGCAATACACTTCTGTTTATTTGAAACGTCATTCCTATGTACTTACATACTGAGTTTCGTATTTCTTCTTTCCAAGATTGGAGTCGAGCAAGAAATTTTGGTTTTCTGGATCAATATCTGCATAGTGGCTGCAAAACAACACGGCATCGTTAGTGACTGTCACGGGCAATGGGCATATTCACTTCCCATTCAGCACTTCCAATCCATTTCAAAGGAAACGAGCAAACCGACGGAACAGCCCCAAAAGAACCACCCCTCCTGCCGCTGTGTCCGCGTACAGAGCATCGCGCCCGTCTCCGCCCGCAGTCATTCTCGTGTCTCCGTGTGCCGACGGACACGGGGCACCGCCGGGTACCCGCCCGTGCCCGGCGCCGCGGAGCCCGCTCACCTCTTCATGGCGGCCGGCTTGGTGGGGTACGGGTAGCTGAAGTCGTTGCTGTTGGAGCTATAGCTGGAGCTGTCCTCGTCGGGGGAGATGTTGAACTTGCCCATCTCGGCGCTGCTCATGCTGGCGGGGCCGCTCTTTTGTCCTTGCCGGCGGGACTCGCCGCGCCTGGGAGGGGGCGGGAGACGACGTCAGTGCCGCAGCGGGCGCGCGCCCGTCACGTGGCCGCGCGGCCCCCGCCCGCCGCCGAGTGGAAAAGTACCAGGCGCGCGGGGCGGGGGGCGCGCGGACAAAGGTGAGGGCGCGCGGGGCGCGGGGACCGGCCCGGACAGCGGCACCGCCCGCCGGCCGCCCGCCCTCACGGCACCTCCCCTGCCCGCACGGCACCCCCCCTGCCCGCCCCGATAGCGGAGCGCAGACTGATGCAACACCGACGGGCGATTGTCACATAGGCTGCCGGAGACTCCCGCCCTGCGGCTGTCCCTGTGTTTACCTCCCTCCCCCCGCGGCGACACCGCGCATCCCGGCATTTTCAATGGAAAAACGCAAATAGATCGCGGGGCTGCGTCGCGCCGCAGTCGCCCTGCGAGTCTGCCACCTTTCCAGGATGCAGAGGCAGCGCGTCCCTACAGTCGTCCCGGCGGAGCGCGGCAGGGTCTTGGCGACAAGCCGGGGCGCTGCCGCCGTACAAAGGCGCGAAGGACGAGCTGCGCTCCGTCCGGAAAGTCCCCCCGTTCCTCCTGGCGGCCCGGTACGAGCTGGCCCCTACCGTACCTTCTGCGCTAGAGCTTGAAAGCGAGGGTTTATTCCCGAAGCCTCGGAATAAGGAGATGCTCCTCTCTCTGCTGCTGGTTCTTGCAAGTGAAAAAAGCCTTTAACTATAAAACGTCAGCAAAAACAAACCCCTAAATAAACAAAGGTAGAAAAAGATCACGTAAAAAAAACCCCAGGGGTATCAAAGGGAAAGAAAATATTGCGTCCGTGTCGCTCCGGCGTCTCTCCCGATCTGACGGCCCCCTCGGGGCGCCGTCGCTCTTCACGCAGGAATGTGGGCGCGTCATCCGAGGGGCGCGGCGCCCGCCCGCCGCCGCGCCGCCCCCGCCCTGTCCGACTGACCCCCTGTTGCCGCCCGGGCAGGGGGGGCACCGGCGGCTGGGGGCGCCCCCGACTGAGGAGTGGGATCCGGTCGCCGGTGTGTGCCCGGCGGGGGTCGGGAGAGGGGCCGCAGCACATATGAGCGGAGCGGCTCTGCCGTGTTTACACTGGGGGCACTGGTTTACACGGTGGAGACAGGACGCTGCGGTGCTTGTCAAGAACGCCCTGCCTGAGAGGTGCTTCCACCGGCCCGGTGCAGCATCCGCAGCGTGACTGCAGCACCGGATGGGTACCGGCTTCACCCAGGGCTGCCTCTCCGTTTCCACCCCGCGCCTGCCTCTGGCGCGCTGCCGAGCTCCGGCGCTGGCGTTTCCCAGTGGCCGAGTGCGTGGCAGGGGATGAGGTGCCACCGACCCATCATAGTTGCTCGCTGCAGTCACTCGCTATTTTTAACACACGAGCAAGCAGCGGTACATGTGCAAGCCTAGACCCCGGTGGCAGCTGACAGGCTCCCCGAACGTTTCCTTCGGGAATGACAGCCTCCCCCTGGTGATGCGATTTACGATAAAACTCACTGTAGGGGAAGAGAAGGGGTAACAGGATGTTCTGTTTCCTTTTCCTCAGGTAACCACTCCAGAAAATTTGGAGGGCTTTGCTACTTGGCCCTCCATGAAAGTGGGCGGCGGGGCTTTACTGCCTGCCCCAGCCCCCCCACGCTGCAAGGCGACAGCTCCGGAGGATTCTCGGCGCGCCAAGTGGGGGCCCATTTGGCTGCTGTCTCTTGAGGAGCCGGGGGTTGCAAGGCAGCCTCTCCCCTCCCTAGCTTCTGAGCCCCCGGCAGCAATGCATTCCCACGCCAATCTGGTGCTGCCAGCCTCGAGTGTGTAGGATACCGAGACATGGAGTCGTTTGGCCCCTCCACGATATCGCCCTTCCTCCCTCCCTCGCCGCGAGAGCACGTGGACGGTGCGAGCGGCGCATGCTGGCTGCTGTCCCGGCGGCGGGGCGGCCGCAGAGACACGGGATCAGTTCACACCCTCGCGGGGCAGCAAGCCCTCACCATCCCTACTCGCTCCGGCCTCACAGCAGTGCCCGCGGCTCTGCGGGGGGACAAGGCTGCCCTGGGGTGGGACAGGCGGCACCACGGGTGGCTCTGCCCCGCGACTGGCTCTGCCCCGCCACTGCCACCGGGCCGGCCGGGCGGCGCGAGGCGGCGGCACCCGCCCGTAACGGCAGCAGAAGGTTCTCGAGCGCCCCCGCCGCCGCCGGGGTGGGGGGCGGGCGGTGGAAGCGGGGAAGGGGCGGGGACCGGCGAGGGCACGCGCAGGAGATGCAGGAGCCGAAAATTTTCCATCACTGCAGTGGTGCTCCCGCCCCCATCCGGCGCGGCGCGTCACGCGCCCCCCCGCTGCAGCCCGGCGGGGCGGGGCGGGGCGGGAGCGGGCGGGATGCGCTGCGGCGCCTTCCCGCGCAGCCCCGGGGCGCGGAGGGGTGGAGGTGTCGCACCTGCTTCCGCGGGTATCGGGGTTTGAAATGACCCTGCAGCGCGGCTCGGGGCGTTCTGGGGCCGAGCCGCCTCCCGCCCTGCCCGCGCAGGGCGTCCGCCTTTGCCCCGTGTTCGGGCACGGCGGAGCGTGGTTTGGGGTGCCTGTGACCGTGACGGGCGGTAAAAGCGCCCCAGGAGTACCAGGACACGGCGTTTTCGGCCCTCTGAAAACCTGTCTGCACAACGGGCAATATGCCAAGTCTTCAGCACCCTGACGGGTTAAAGCGAAGGGCTGTGCCGCTCCCCTTTCGCTGCACAATCACAGTGATATGTAAATAGCACTACTGCGGGGAAGGCGCGGCACACTCCTTTTCCAAGGGGAACGGTGGCTTTTTTGCAGTCAATCCCATTCTCCGGTTGTCAGCAGTTCTGTGAAATTACAGTTTACGTGGCAGAGGTCAAGGTGACCTGTTTGTTGTGGGTTTTGCCAGTATAGCAACAACCAGAATGACGTATCTTAATGTTTTAAGGATTGTATCATCCCTTTCAGGGTGAACACAGAGATTTGGTGCAGAGTAAACTGTCCCGCATGCGTTTGATAAATACAGCAGCCATCTTCATAGATGTGATCTGATTGCCGTGGACGGTACAGCTTTTAAAAAAGTTAAAACTAGATTTTTTTTTTTTTTAGCAAAATGAAAGTTTTACAAGTGCTTGATTTTTTTCTTTTCCTAGAACTGTCCTAATTTTACATGGAAAAAGATGATGAGGCTTTATTCATTGTTTATGATAAGAAAAATCGGTGAAATGCATTCAGGAAGAAAAGTTTCTATTTTTCTAATGGCCCCATTACTGGAAGGTTCACTCTGCAACATGCTAGTGTAATCTGCACTGCTCCAAAATAGTGTCTTTAAAATTTTACCCATGCAGTCTGTTTGCTGGTCCAAATGATCTGCTTTTTCAAGTGGTTTTAAGTAATGCCTCACTGATTGAATTATAATTTTCCTGACTTCGCAACTGCCAAGAATGTCCTTGGCAAAACATACATACAATGTGTTTCATCCAATTTTGAAATGTATTTTGTAATCGGAATAATAAAAGTTAATATTCATCAGTTCCTCCCACCATAGTTTCAACGATTCATTTGTTTTCATTGTCATGCTTTTCTTTCTGTTTTTAGTGTTCTTATATTCTATTTTCCTTTCCTTTGTTTTCATCCTCCTTATCCCTAAATCACCCTAATTTTTGTACCTTCCGTATTTTTGCTTTTTATTTTGTTCTTTTGTGTGTCTTTACTCACTGGAAGCTTCCTTACAAAGTTCGAGCATTTAGGATAGTTAAGAATGAACTTTTTTTATTTTTAATCTGGAGATCCAGTTTCTGCTGTATGTGTTCATAAGATATCCCAGCACAGCTCTGAAGACTAAAGATTGCTAAAGATGATTTTTTAAAATACTGAAAAATAGGTTTCTGTGTTTTCTTTAATACAGAGCTGTGGGTGATACGTCTTGTTCTTAGTCAGGTTTCCCTTCCTGAAAGACTTTCTAATCATTTAGGGGGGCTGTATGCTTTCACAAGAAAACAAAACCAGACAAACAAAAAAAAGTTAAGCTGTTCTAAGTTAAACTGTTGTAAAAGAAACTAGAAGTTAGTTAGGTGTTGTAAAAATTGAGTTGTGTTCAGTTACACAGGTAGAAATTAATTAGTTTTCAATATATTATACAGGAGGGTAATTGGTTTTTTGAAGCTGAAGAGCTCTATGCTGAGTGCTTCTAAAGGTTGGTTTGGTTGGTTTGCAGCGGAGACTGCAGCGGAGACTGCACTGTAGATTCACCCCTCACTGTAACATTGCCTGCCATTTTTCGGTCTGTGAATGGTTTATTTTTAAATCTGATTAGTTGTTTTTAAGTTTAGAAAAAGAAGAAGTACCTGGCAAGTGCCCCTGGTTTTTCTTTTCTCATGTTTTAGCAAATAAAGGCCTTTATAATATGGGAGGTTCTTGTTTCATGCTATTTCTTCCAACATACATAAACAAACCTTGTGGGATACCATAAAACTATCTGTAGCACATGCCCAATAGAGTCATTTATGTTTATGGTATGCATGGAAAAGTTTCGTGTACAGTAATACTGTCAAAGTCAAGTCCATCCACATGGTTTTTAGATGATACTTTCTAAATTGCCCAAAGTATATCTAATGAAATATGTAATATCTTATGTCAAAGCACTCTGTACTAATAGCTACATAACATTTATTTTGTCTGTGCCTAGTATGAATAATATAGAAGTTCCAGTAGAGTAAGGGTCTGCATCGGATGAAATACTCAGTACTGCCAGCAGTCTGGGGAAGGATGGTAATGCACACCTGAGAGCTGTTTTGTGCCCTAAATGAAACCTCTGCACAGTGATCTCTGCATGACAGATGTGGTCTGTCACGAGGAAGAGCTGGAAGTGGGGATGACTGTGAAAAATGAGGATTCATGGTTTTGCTGCATAGACTCAGTGGTCTACAAAGATGCAGACAGGGCTAATGGGTTCTACCATCCTTCCAACCAGTTTGGTTCATGATTCTTACCTCACATGGACTGCCTGTGGCATGCAATTAATGAAATCATGGGTTCTGATTATATGCTTTCTTAAACAAAACTTCCACTGAAGCCAAGAAGTATTACAAGTGCATAAGGAATGAAGGATTGCATATCCTGCCTCTGGAGGTTTGTGATGGTGCGTTGGAGTTACATATTAAACTCGGTTTAAGCTTTAATTTTTTCCCTCTGTGTTTATCCTAGACTAGTTTCAGTTTTGCAATGTGAAAGCAACAAAATCACTATGTTAAGAATATAAGCAGCAGCATACTTTTAAAAAATATTACACTTGATATAATTATAACTTAAGGCAAAAATAGGGAGAGATTTTGAGTCTGAGTTTTAAAGCCATCCGATTATGCTGTTATACTGCAATAAACTCAAAACAGTGGGAGCTGCTTGAGATATATAGTACTAGTCATTTGCAAGAAACTGTCAGCCTTAAATGGACATTGTCAGCTGCTATAAAAATAGCTTTTACTTTATATTTTGAACTCTGTAATATTTTTAGGGATTTTAAAAATAGCATTTCTCGTTAATCTTGATTCATCTTTTCCACTCAACAAACACTGATTTTTTTTTTTTCCTGTGTGAAATTCACATAAATCTTTAATGTTGGGGTTTAGTTATTTTTTTTAGTTCTACAAATCTAGAAAAACTTTGGAAATGGTATTTGTTAATTAGCTGAAACTCTTGTCATTTTCTATAAGCCCTCTCACATATTTTTGTTTAGATCCTTACGGGAATAAGAGCTATTATTTTTGTTCTTTTACTATTTGCTAGTGGCACAGAGTACAAGCTAAGATATGCACTTGGATTTCCAGAGATGTTATTGCCATAATTACACCTTTCTGTACAGTA